AATGTATTAATAAAGAAACTAATTTGATTTAAACTTGGAATTATTAGTGATGAATAGGTATTTCATTTGGTGGATGTAACATTTTGTTACATAATATTATACTGATATACATAATATTGCCCACTTACATTATACTAAATATACACTATAAAATTGACACAAAATATGCGTTCTCGACACCTTCCAAATTATTATTATTATTATTATTATTAAGGCTGTGAATTTATAGAAAGGTGTGAATTTTTTTCAGCTGATTGTGAATCGTAATCATAATTTGAATCATGTAACAACCAATTAATTTATGAAACTTTCATTTTGTTGGTAATTGTCTTGCCTTTTTAAGTCATATTTCCTTTTTAGTCCATCTTCCGATATTTTTAATCAAATTCTGCCAATTTATATCTTTACACACATATTTTTTTTTTGTTTTACACAGGTAGTGTGTACCTGCATACGTCAAGTTTATATTTTGCACAAGCTGTATAAGGGTGTAACTACAGCGTTTAATTTGATCAGGATTCAATAAGATAAGGCAATTTTCATAAATAAATTGCAATAAAGCACTTTATCGATTATAGATTTTTTTACCCATAATTTACCATATGGTATACCTAACCGTAAATTAATATTGACTAGGTGAGGAACTTGGTTAAATACAGCTATGTATTATTCTGAGCACTACGCTTTAATAAAACAAGTAGTCATGGAGCTCAACCGGGAAGAAGCTACATGCATATCTGTTAGAAAAGCACAAGATTTTTAATGGTCGATCGGAATTTATGGTGCTGTTTAGCGTACATCAAATCTAACAGTGGAATCTAACCTAAAAATATCATTCGTTTAGGATTGTCTGGTCGCACCTGAGTCTAGCAGATTCTATTTAAAATTACGACAGAATTCTAAAACGAAATTCAATAAATAAGAAATCAAAAAATGACAGTTCAGGTGAAATAAAAAAAAAAAAAGTATTAGAAAAAATGTACCGGATTTGATGTAATGTGCACCATTTTGAAAATACTTGAGGGAGTTCAAATGTTCAGAACGTCTCTTCCAGATGACCTCAGCTTCGACGACAAGGATTTTATGCGATATTCTCCTATTGTATCTGTATAAATGTAGAAAGTAGTTTTTGGGGATTCAAAAATTTGTTGACAGACAATCGGCGGTCATTTTTAATTGGCAACATCAGACGAGCACTTGTTGTCCAATGCAATAGTAAAAACGAATAATGTACCTATACCCACACATAAATATACTTACCTAAATTAATTTTGTTCTTTTAGCAAATTAAATAATTAAAAAAAAAAAAAAAAATGTTTCAAATGAGTAGAATTATTTTAGAAACATAAAACTTCCAAATCAAAATTCAAATTCGATCAACATTTTTATAAAGTCATTTTTTCAAATAAATTAACTAGTTTTTATATAATATATACTATATAATATAAATATTTAAATTAAATAGCTGATCTTGTGCCCTTTAGTTTCCCGTTAAATGTACCAACTCTATATGATTAAAACTGTATTCAATTCGTTATTTAATATTCGGTGTATGGTGTTCAAAATGTACCCTGACTTTTCCGTTGCCCGGAATAAAAATTCTGATTCACAGCAGTATATTATCAAGTAGGCAATCTACCTGCGGTAGATCGAGGACCCAGGTCTATTTGTACTTAAGTGTATGATTTAACTCTAAAGTATCAAATTTATACCAAGTTTGTCGTATTCCACCTATGGTGGATTAATATAATCAATTAATACAAAATTCTAACCTAACCTAACAGTACTAATATCAGATGAATAAAAAAAAATCAAATTTAACCATTTATAAATTAGCCTGTCTTCTTTCCAGAGGTCAAATCTACACTCAAACATTAATTTTTATATATTTATATATATATACAAAAAAAATAATACAAATCAACAAACATGCCCTATTAACCAATAACAACCAATATATAATACACTGTTGAGCTACTGTTGTATATTTTACATCCAGATTTCCTACTTTTCCGGTGGATTTTCCTAAAATTTTCTTTCGTTAGAACCATTCCCGTACTTCAAGGAATATTATAAAAAAAGAATTAGCGAAATCGGTTCAGCTGCTCTCGAGATTTGCGCTTAGCAACACATTCAGCAATTCATTTTTATAGTATAGATTAAAAACCATTTTAAGTGCATTTTTACTGCACTTTTTGACATTTTATATGTATTTTTAAGATTTTCACTGCATTAAATTCACAGCCTTACTTATTATTGAAATGCACACAACATTCATCATCAATACGAGCGAACTCAAATACTATACAGTTATTAATAGTAAAATACTAATTAAAATATAATACCTAATAATTTTAGAGTTGTAATCTAATGCATGTCTTCTTATTGATAAAAAACCTCTTGCAGAAGTACTCAAACTCACAGCTACGGAAAACTGTTAAGTATTCATTATTGTGTATTGATTGGAATTGTGGAAAATGGAATGGGACGATATTGCATGGGGAAACTCAGAATGAAACATTGATCTCTGGACAACCGCATCAGGAGTGTAAGAGATGCAATTTGGAGAAGTAATAAGGTATTATTATTATTATCATCATTGTTAAATAAATATAGTTATGGACACGATAAAATTATTACTAAACAATATTATTTTTGAAAAATTTTAAACGTATATGAAAATTTAATTAGAGATACTGAAATTATATGTTTTTGTGTGCAAGAAAATATGGTACCTAATCGCCATGAATCATGATAAATTAATATTTTTTTTGAAAACATTGTTAACTGATTCGTTGAAAGTTATTGAAAGGACATGTAATGAATGAACTGTATTCGTTTTTTGTATTTACGATAATATCACAAACATAATATAACATATAAATCTGAACTTTTAAAAAATTCAATTCTTTTTTTATAATTTCAAGTAAAAATAGAAAACTACATCAACAAATATAAACAAATTTCCCATAGAAAAATAGTTAGATCAGTCGATTTCCAATTATGAAAATGAATAATATATAAATATTATGTAACAGACAGTAGACGATCAAAACGAATTTTTAATGCCTACAGTATTAGAAGCAGAATATACACTTCCCGGTGGTCCAATTGAAGGAAATGATGTTTTGGTGAAACTGAGATGCAAAATTGTTTACGAGTTTTCGAGATTTTTATATCAACTCTTGTATCAAAATGTCAACTGATTTTTATAGGTAGTTCCCATAAGAGAACTCCTTTGAGCGTTAAACGTCATGAAATATTAAACTTTGTACATTTTTTAATGCAATATCACAAACTTCCAAGTTAGAAACATTGTTGAGCTAAAACAACTATAAAGACTTAAAGGTTTCCTTAGTTTCCAGGACAGTGAGCCACAAAAAGTATTCTATAAATTGTCCATGCACAAGATAACACTTAAATTCCTATAAATAATAAATATAGAGTTTTTAAACTACAATACTTAATGTATAACTGCCTATAATTCGACTTTATTAAAAATGTTGCATAAATATTCGAACATTGGATGTAAAAATTAAAAATGTTTATGGACAAAATCCTATCTAAGAAACAGGGCAAATACCAATAGTCTAAATGGCATCATTATATTATAAAATTCTCATAGATTAAATATCATATTTATTATTTATCAATGTTCTAATTGAACAAAAACATTTTAGAAGATAAATTTATGTTTTTAAATAGTTATTTTTTTAATATTCATAACTTGTAGTACACAATATATTTTGATATTATATATGCATTGTCCACTAATGTGGAAAACAATATATCGTACGTTATTTTTGGGTCTAAACAATAGAATTAGGTACAATACCGTTTCCGTTATGCAGTTATCTCCATAACTTTCGAGAAAAACAATTATTACGAATGAAAAATATATAAAAACGCATTCTATAGATCAAGACATCCAACACATCGTTTTATTAGCTATAAAGAAATATATAGGTAATCAAAACCCGCAACATAAATAATCCGTATGCATATAATATATTTCTCGTCACTTCAAATATATTTTAAGAAAAAAAAATATATAATATATATGCGCGTTAACACTTGTATATGTAATTATATAATAATATAGTAATGTTAATATTAATAGTTGATTAATAATTTATATAATAGTATAATATTATAATAATAGATAGGTATATAGGAGGTATCTACCGACAAAATACTGGTACGGCGAAACAGAAATGAGTTCGTAATGATCGCATAATAATAATAATTATTATTATTTATCACGATGATATTGTGTCTACTTACATTATTATGATGTCTATAATACTAAGTTCTAATATTGCCTGCGACATTTTGATATGGGTAATAATTGCTTCTATTTTTTTTTTTTTAATGTTAGTCACTTATATTTTAGAAAAAGAACATTATTATCATAGAGATTGATTAGATATAATATTATGTTTGTTTTTTTTTTGTACGTTACTTATAGCAGTATAATATACATAAACATTAAATATAATATTATCTATGTATATTATATGGAGTATATAAACCCTAAAAATTTGATCGTTAACCTTAGCGCCACGATGCATTATACTTCGTTTTTAACTTTCATCGACGCATATTAAAATTATTGTATTTAAAGAAAAACTATTAACAATACCAATAATAGTTATTTCACATTTTTTTTTTTTACTAAGATTTACTTATGTTTGTTTAAATGGACAACAACAATAATGACGTATAGAATATTAGTTGAAAAATGTAATGATATAATAAGTATATCAAAAAAATATAAAATCAAATTAATAATTACATATATAATCATAATTATTAATCATTTTGTTACAGATTTCAAAAATTGATACTACTCGCAACTAACTATTCAATAAAATACGTTGTTTAGTTATTGTGAAGTAATAAAACCAGTAATACCATCGGCGATAATTAATTTGGTATGTGTGGTAAAAACACAATCTGCTGGCATGTTCAGTATCATCGTTTTAAAACTGACTGTGTACTTAGTAAGCTTGAGTTTGATATTCACCTAGAGCATAGAACAAATAAATAAACAATTCAATAATTAACTAGAATAATAAATAATAATAAACATACAAGTATTTTTAAATTAACTTAACAACATGGTATCTTGTAAGTTAATATAATATTCTCTTTTCTTTACATTTGACATAAATACCTCATACATATACACCTATTATAAGGGTGGGTTGATGGGTGGGGCCTATGGGATTGAGGGAATTTCCCCTATTTGGAATTGGGCCTTAACTGTTGGCGGCCCCAAGGCTCAAATAAAGCATTACCTTCGTTGTCTTTTTGATGAATTGGGTAAGGTTAGAAACAAAGAGAGGAATGTTAGTTATTTTTCATAGGGAAGTTTTTAAAACATTTTTTTTTGTATGATCGAATTTTAGCACTACCCCAGAGTTGGATCCCATAGATCCAGATGGGCTATAGAAAGGTTTTGTATATTACCAATTTGATTTTTCGGTTTGTGAGTGTATTTCTGTGAATTAGTGTGCTTAGCATGCGAAGGCGATTATTTAGTTGTTGTATTTTATACTTTATGTGTTGGACCCATGTAAGGCGACGATCTAATAGAAGTCTTAGGTACTTTACTGTTTGAAAAGAGGGAATTTGAATTCCCTATAGAGACGTTTTTAGAGTGAATGTAGTGTGATAGGATTTATCTTGATTGACTTTAAATTTCCAGGTAGAGTACCATTTTTCCATAAGGGGCAGGTGATTTTGTAAGTGTATAGAAGCTATCAGAGGGTCTGCATTAATAGATAACAATGTATACTCTATTTAGAATAAGAACAAACCGCTGTCGCGCATAGCAACTGAGCTTGGAGCTGCCAGACCATCTGCAGGTGGCCGATTCGTTAATTATTCGGTAAAAAGTGAATATTTGAGAAGGCAGCCGTAGTGGGAAAAGACACGCAAACAACGACGAGTTTTCGTCCGCCGCCGGGTCTGATCTCATTCTGAATAGAGTATAATATTAAAACTATTTATTTAACAAAATTTATATTAATTTTTAGATTATAATTTCGGCCAGTTTTTATTTACAATAGAGTGCATAAACGATTATATAATCTGTGCATGTACATTTCTCGCAAACAACAGACATAAAATGTATATTTCAAACAAAAAAACGGATTGGAGCCGCTTTAGAATAAAATTGGAAATAAAAGATCACTTTGAAGAGTATTTGGAACAACTTTGTGAAAAAAATCGTTAAATTATTTAAGTGACTCGGTAAAAAACCATAACCTTTAAATACAACTCACCCCTTCTCCTCTCCCCTTCAAACAAAAAAATAAAAAATAATTGGAAAAAGTTCAATAATGTAGTCAGAAAGTTGGTAATAAAGCAGGTCTGTTCTTTTATATACATAAGGATATATTGTTTGTATAACATTTTATGGTATTATGTAATTGTAAATAATAAATATTTTGTTGGAACTAAAATTTATTATTTATATTATATAGTATATTTGTATATTATGCAAACAAGCAATACAAATGTTTGCGGAGAGTGACTATATTAATTGTTATTATTGAAATAGATATATGTCATAAAATTAAAAGTTTATATATTATGTTAATGTTATTTGTGATATGGCATTTGTGCAATTTTCGTGTATGGTATTTGAAACATTTTTCACTTATAGCAAAAAAGTGCGTATCCGCCCCTGTAACTTATATAAATATATAATATTAGCTAGCATTAGGCTTGAAATCTCTATTAACACGTAGACGCCGTTTCGGGTAATATGCATATATGTATGATGGTATATACAAAAACAAAAACAATATTCACAATATATCAAAATTTTTAAAATCGAAATTATATTAACTCATACCCGACATCTGATTATTAAACGGACATTCATTGTTACTGTTATTTTGCGTTTCGTCGTACGCTCCAAACTGATCGGCTTCAAAAGATGATATAAATGCTGGATCAACACCCATATTATATCTTTGGTATGAGAAGTATGCAGAAGTCCCCTGTTAAAAATTCAATCAAACACGTAAATTATAAATGATTATACTGTGATGTATTATGCCATCGTATTATGATCAGTTTAGCACTTACATTAAATACAAAGATTTTGTACATACCCAAGAAAAAGTAGCAAATAATGCAAAATAAATGGCAGTGGTTGGATTGGCAGTGCTGATTGAATCAGGGAAATCGGGTGTATTACCCCATGCGTCAGCTAAATAAATGAAAAGTAAAAAATTCCAAAACGACCATAGACCTGAAATGTAAAAACATATTATTAAAAGCAGGTGCGGATGTGATGCAAATACTTTGTTTCCACTAGCCTTAAAATAAACACTATGTTATTATATTATTTATTTAAATAAATTTGGGGTGATGATAAATCAAAATTCAAATATAAAATAAAACTATACTAAATAATATCTGACGTTTAGATAGGTATAATGTTTATTGAAGAAATTTTAACCACTTATTGAAAAAAATGTATCAAGTAATGCAAGTTTTTATAGAAACAACTGGAACATCAATTTTAAGAAATTACTATGAAATTGTATAATCTTAAATGTCGATACTGAACTAAAATTACTTTTGTCTTTCGGTAAAAAAAAAGTATAATAGTTTATTTATACTGTTAAATTAATATATTTCGTCATAGTTCTAACCCAAGTGTCCTCATATATGTCCTCCATTTTATATATTAATATCACTTACATAATTGTCAGATCGCATTGTTATCAATATTATCTATGCCAATAGAAAAAAAAACATATTTTTAAAGTAACAAAAGGCTTATAAATAATAAAACACAACAGTTTTTTAGTTATTTTTAGAACTGTTTAAAACGTTTATCAAATACTAAATGTAAATTAATATCCAAACTCTGGGTAACTTTATTATACATGTCGTGAGCTTAGTTTTATAATATATTCGGTTAACGACGGTTCTTACACGAGAATCCAAGGTCGATGAGCACGTAATGTTTACGACTTTTTACCGACGGCACGTTTTCGAAATAATACTCGCCGCCGACGAATACAGCTGCTCCGATCACTGACGTGAAGCCCACCACGCCGCCAATGTGACATCCAAAACTCTTAAGCTTGAACATGCATATTTCTTCGTTTGTTTTTACGTCTGTAGTCCACGATCCAGATGATGCACAAAAATAGACGATCAAACCAAACAACTAAAACAATTATAACACACAAAAGAATTATTTAAAGAGAAGAAAATATAATTTATAGACACAAGGGATAAACCTTATAGTGTCAAGACAATAATATTACACTTGGACAGTTTAAGGTTGATCTTAAGTTTACTCATAGCTAGTATACATTTTCGATTTGATCTGTTCGGTTAGGTTAGGTTACTGCAGACACTCACCCAAATTGGTCACCGCGAACATGTATCTCACCGTTTAGTTTTGTTAAATTATTATAGCCTACGCCTATATAGGTGTCTATAGTAGCCAGTAGGTATAGTAACTTAATTTAATGATACTCAGTTACAAGTTAACACTATTAATATTCGATATAATATTCTTAAAAAGATAACCTTCACTTCTGAGCCCATCGATAAAATATGTCAACAATAAATTAATTGAATTAAAAACGAGCACTTAATGAAATCGAGATTATTTTTGAATGTAGTTAAGCACCTATTTAGTATTAGAAATGTATAAATTAGGATTGTCTCGTTTATAATAAAATAATAATATGTAATGATAAAAAGGACCACAAAACGTCAAATCGATCATTATTTTGTAGATATATTATAAACCCATGTAATATTCTATACATGCGCCTTCGCCACTTTACTTTTCAAACCTTCAAACGTGTAAAAGGTTTTCACGTGAATGGAATATCCAAATAAGTACTTTTTTTTCTTATATTACATAATATAGGTATTATGTTCGTACTTTACTCAAGACTTTTATAACAAAAAATATTTTTTAAAAATTCAGATGATTGCAATACGTTTATATTTTGCAAAAAAATAAAATAATAATAATAATCATAAAAGTAGGGCACATTATATCCACACTACGATATTTCGTACATCATTAACCATTTTAATATTTTATTAAATTTATTATACATTAGATTTCGTACCTATATTACCCCTTTGCTTTAGTAAAATTAATTTTTATTATTTTTTTGAATTCAAGTTTACTACTTACGATAACAATCAAATTACGTCGTAATAGCTACGTCGTTGTAGCTACGTACAAATTGACCATATCCGTAGTCCATACTTACCCTTAACTATTAAGTTTTTATTAGTAGTTAATTATGTACACAATCTTTGCCTTATCGTGTTTTTAATTATACCGACTATACCGAATAATCTTTACCTAGTATAATACCTACTTGATATTTTTTACTACCTACACTTTATTAAAACAAAGTAAACCGTTTATTTAAATATGCACGCTGTTCCGGTGACTTGAGTGCAATCCCCGAGCCATATGATAAATATTCATAAATTTTACATTTCACATTTTACATATAGTATACAAAATATTATAATAATCAATAATATACTGTCCGCATTATAATATTATAATGATTTTACATGTACCTATTTGGAGGACTATACGTCTATACGTCTAGTGGTTTGGAGTGATGTTGGAGACGTGGACAAATATGAGGGGATGCTCTTCACTTTTATTTCTATACTGCACGTCAATACTTCACCTACCCTACAACATTTTCTAATCACACTTCGATGCATGTAGAAGCTTTAACAGCAAATTTTTTTTTTGTATAATATGTAGCTTAATGTATTGATTTATTTAACACGGATTTTCGCGTGATTGCGTAAATATATACCTACTAGTACAAAAAAAGTATTGAAAATTGAGACTTTCAGAGGACTACTCTTAAATATACTCGCGTGTGTGTGTATAATATATATATATATATAATATTGCCTCCGTCCGTCTAACAAATGCTACAGTGTATTAGTGTGTATAAATATTCCACTGAGCAAAAACTAAATTAAAAATTATTAAAATAGTGTTGGCCATTTTTTAATTACGTAATAGAGTCTAAAGTCATATTATACGATGGTATAAATTATAGCAATTATTATAACTCTAATGCCTTCGGAGGACATTATCTCGAAAATATTCTCCTATTTAAGTTAGCACCACCACTACAGGTGTCTAGATATTTTAAGCTCTGCTGCAGATATTAACCAGGACGCCACGATTTTGACTTTGCGTAGGCAGTGCATTATAGCAATTATTATAGCTCCAACTTATTCGGAGGACATTATCTCGAAAATATTCTCGTCTTTAAGTTTGCACGACCACTGCACAGGTGTTTAGAATTGTAGATATTTTAAGCTCTGCTGCAGATGTTAACCAGAATTCCACGATTTTGACTTTGCGTAGGCAGTGCGATTTCGCGCTGTGTTTTCCGTGTCGGATGCAAAGACATTCTATACGGTATTACAACACTCTAGGTAATGTTGTAAATCCGATTCCCCTCTCACTTATTGTATTATTCTAATAGGCAGCTACATACTGACCTTATACGGTTATAATATAATAACGCGTGACGACAGGCATCTGCGGATCATGATCGTACATGGGTCGACGATCGGAGGAGACGGACAAAATATATAATACTCACGCAATAGTATATGTGTTTAGTAAGCATTATATATTATTATATTATGCGGTTATTGTGTAGGACCAATCCTTAGGTGAACGATGGACATTGGATGCCTTATAAGTACATATCTCGACTATATAGGTTACTGTAGGGCTATACCTACTAACTTCAGTATAATATACTATTTGTAAAAAGTCTAGGGCTGGAAGATTTATATTCTCTTAAAAATCACGAGATATGTTCTTAAAAATGGCCGAGTATGCAGTGGTGACATAATATGCTCATTAAAACCGTGTTTAAAAAAAAAAAATTATGATTTTAGTCTTAAATGAATATTACAATATAGTTACATTACAGCAATGCTTTTTATTCATTTGTTGTTGTATACGAGTATAATACGTTGGTATTATAGATACCTATGCGTAGTAAAATACAGAAAAAAAAACATAAAATAATGTCTGTAAGGTATATATAAGTACCTATACTAGGTAAACTTTGAATATTTATTTATTTTTGGTTCCAACGAGTAACGATAGTCTTTATTAAAATCTCTATTTTTATTTTCTCTAATTTGCACGTAAAGCTTTTACTATAAGTTAGTAGTTACAATCTATTGCAACACTCAATAAAAATACCAAATATGACCTTAAAACAGTACTATATTATATAATATTGTTATTGAAGTAGGTAAGTAGAAATATGCCGTAAAAGAATTCGTATTTTTAATCACATTCTCGTGAAACATATTATACTGTGCTCACTTGGCATACATTATGCGATCGAACGGCAAAATAATAATATGTAAATGCATATAAACCCGACCAGTAGCCTGATGACAATTTTGCACAACATAAAAAAAAAAATTGTTCACATGTGTAGTATATGTACCTACTCGTGTATTAAATGTTGTATTCGTGGTTTAATTACATATTGACATAATACCATATTGGTATTGAAATCGTTATTGGTTAATACAAATAATAAGGTCACGTCGTAATAACCTAGTGATATAAATGCGTTTAGTTCACCCACACGTAAAAATCAAAAAATTGCTAAATTTTTTAAAACGATTCGTATACGTCTGCGAATTATTAAAATATGGGCCCGCTATACATCGGACAGTATAATTAAAATGTTTAAAAGTGAAAATTTTAACGTCTCTCGGTCGGGCCCAGAGGAAAATTTACGTCCCATATGGTCACGTCGTGCGTCATGCACAAAATTTAATAATAACGTACAAGGACTCCGAGTATACGTGTGTTGCACTTCACGTATAACGTATACAGCACACGAGTGCGGCTGTATAGGATTATATTACGATATAATATATTATTATTTTCTATCTTACGTACCAACGACAACAGCCTGACGAACACGTGCGGCTTGCGGACAAAGTTTTGGATGTTGAACTCGCCGCCGACTTTGCCGGCCCCGTAGGCTTGCGGACCAGCATCCATATTAATTGCAACGATCGACGACGATCGACGACGACTTACGATCTAGACGGTGTGCTGAAAAGTTCACGCCGAGAGGGACGCGGATACACCGGGCGGCCGACTTTTGCGCGATATTATTATATAATAATATTTATTAATGAGGTCGACTGATTGACAATATTTTGCAGTAATATCACTATCGCAGCTGTGCGTGTATACACACCTACCTATGTAATAATATTATGTTTATAATAATATTACGACTCCGTCCCTCATTCGGTGAGCGGCCAGTGGCGGATTTCGTTCGGTTTCTTTGTTTTGTTATTTTTGCTTGTGTATACAATGCCCGCGTATTATCAGACGCGCGACGCGGCGGCGGCCAGGAGAGAGCTTTTGGCGAGATAACGGCGCGCATTGATTTTTCGACGACGCCGCTCGTCGCGCGCAACGGCTCCGCGGGGGCGACGTCGAGGGGGTGCAGGCGTGCTAGGCCACCGCTATCGTCGGCGCGACCCGCCCCGCCAACCCCCGGACTGCCTGCTCCCCGCGCGCCTGCAGTTCAGTATAATATGTGTTCGTTGAAAATATTATATATTATCGTGTCGACGCGCGAGGGTTGCGCCTTAACGATTTGGGGTGGGCGTTCGCTGAGGCGCTCGGGACGGCGGCGTCGTCGTACCAACTTGCGGCCTCGATAGGGTTCCTCTGCTGGTTGGCAACGGTTTATAACAAGAGGCCCTCGGTTGAAGCTGCAGCTGTATGATCGTCTAAAGGCGGGTTTCCACTATACACATACGCGTGTACGTGCATGCGAATCCTTTACTGTGATTGGTTGGTTAAGTTAAGTTACCATACGATTAACCACGATATCATGTTGTTAGACATAGCTGAACACTTTTCGTGTACACCGTACACGTGTATAGTGGAAACCCGCCTTGAGTTGTCGTAGATACACATATTATAATATGCACAGACCATTGTGAAGCTCGTTCAATATAGCATGTCATATAGCCGATTGCAGTCGTCATACCCTGGTAATGGTATCATAATATAGACGGTTCGGGGGTGTCCTGCGACTACGCTGCACCCCCTCTCCACCCCACACACGTAACCGCGGGTTACGACCGGGTATATTTATTTATTTCAAAGATTATTGGTAGTTATATATTGTGCACCTCGAAGTGGAAGGATAAAATATACGTATTAGACTTTAAAGTTTTGGATAATAAGTTTCCTCGATCCCCTCGCACGAAGTTTATCGATATTGGTAGGTATCTATAACGGCTGTATATTATAAATAGTTATTCATGCTAAGACTGCATGTTTGCAGTGTTAATAAAGATAGGTATTAGGTAGGTATTATCAGTAATTAAGGACGATGTATGTATACAGTATGTCCCAAAAGTCCCGTATCACCCTTAATATCTCCATGTAAAATCACTATATTTAAACGCGGTTTTTTTTACAGTACCAAGTATGAAAATTCTGATTGAATGGCATAAAATTCATTTATTTTTTTCTATAAATTCAAAAATTTTCAAAAAAATTTTTTACGCATTTAAGAATTTAAAATTTTTAAGATAGCCATTTTGTTGAGCATATTTTTTAAAACAGTTCAAAAAAAAAATACTAAAATTAAATAAAAATTGACCAAGTTAGAGCAAGTTATGTTTTTGAATAATTGTAGTAAAAAAATAAATTATTGTTTCACATTTCAATAATGAAATATCTAATTCAGCACACGACAATACTTTTACATTCCTAATTTATTTTTTTACTACAATTATACAAAAACATAACTTGCTCTAACTTGGTCAATTTTTATTTAATTTTAGTATTTTTTTTTTTGAACTGTTTTAAATAATATGCTCAACAAAATGGCTATCTTAAAAATTTTAAATTCTTAAATGCGTAAAAAATTTTTTTGAATATTTTTGAATTTAAAGAAAAAAATAAATGAATTTTATGCCATTCAATCAGAATTTTCATACTTAGTACTGTAAAAAAAACCGCGTTTAAATATAGTGATTTTACATGGAGATATTAAGGGTGATACGGGACTTTTGGGACATACTGTATATAGATATAACATGTTTAAAATATGTGTTTGACTTATAAGACGAAAATTAAAAATAATTCATAATATATTTGTAAAAAATGTAATCGACGGAATATAATGAAATGAAAAATATGAACTAAAAAGTTCATAAGGTCTTAAAAATCAAAAAATGCAAAATATAGTTCCAAAATTGAATTCGTTTGTGTAATTGTGCACAATGTCTAATTACATTTTTTTTAGGGAATTCGATCCCTCACCTATATGTTTTATACTAAAATTTCCCTACTCCTTATATTAATATTATTGTACCGACAATATCCTAATCGTCAGATTAAACTTCTGAAAATATATTTGAGTTCGTTCTTGAGAAAACGACTTTTCCACTGTTTTGAAATTGAACTCATAAAATCTTATAAAGATTAGATTTTTAAATTTCAAAATATATTTAGAGTTTTCAAATGTTAATGTGACATCGAAATGAAAAATTGAATCAAAGAATGCGAGGCGATCGCTCTCAAGTAAATTTCATGACAAATGAAAACACGTTTTCAGTAATTTCATCAGATAAATAATGTAGTTGGCTAATGACTGATACTTTTGCGTTTCGACAAAATAAACAAAATAATAAATATATTTGTGTAGCACTGCGGCACGCCATTCGTAATATCTGAGTGCACCATTACCATTTACTATTATTGTATTATTCTTTTACACGCAGTCACTCACACAATAATGATTATTGACAACAATACGCTCGTGTGAACAGTTCAGACACTTAGTAAATTGCCTATTTTTAACTCCTTAAAATCGGTTAGTGTATCATCGAAACCCCTTATCGAAACCACGCTAGAAAGCCTCGTTGTACAATAACAAGCTAAGAAAAATGAATTTTCATACAAATTCACAACTCTGGTTTAAAACACTTGTTTCAAAACACTTTCCAGCCCTCATTTCCGGACTCTCGCGCCGTACACTATATCCAACGATAGAAATGTGCACGAAAGCATGATTGCACGAACACCGCTCTGTTTGCACATTATTAATATAGGCGCCAGCAATTCATTTCTGTAACTGCACTGTTTCTGTAAACATTAATTTCAACAAAACTGTACCTAAAAACATTATCGGTGAATATTTTACTAATTATAATAATAATGATATATTTGTTAAATGGTTGTACATTTTAAGAGGACGCTACACCGGCATCCGTTGTCTCCGTCTTACAAAATATCTACAACTCAGAAAAACCTGTTTTCCGTGGGAAAGAACCGAAAAGGCTGCAGTCGTAAGCATAACTAAGAAACGGGATTTTCATCACGTAAAAAAGAAGAACTTTGACTGTGCGGTGTCGTTTTTATTTATTTTTTTTTTGATATCACTTATACGAAAAAAAGTTATTCAAGTTTGAAAACCACAAACAATAATGGTTTTTGAAATAATAAGAACTTTTTTCGTACTTTTTTGGTATCAAAAACATTAAAACGACTTTACAAAGCCAAATTTGTCCTTCTGATCTGGTGAAAATCTCGTTTCTTAGTTACCTATGCTTATCATGACTGTAGCCTTCTCGGTTCTTAGCCGCGAAAAACAGTTTTTGGTACGTTGTACATTTTGTAAGACGGAGACAGCTGCACATATGGGTGTAGCGTCCTCTTATATTAATAAATGTATATTGTATGTTATCTGAATTTGTGATTAAAATTGTAGAGCCATAACACGTCCTAGAATAAAATATGTGTTGCCTAACTAACACATAATATATAGGTAGGTACACGATCACACGGACATGGGTACAATAAGTCTTCTTAAAACATAATATATAAATAAATATAATAAGCAATTTAAAATGATGATATGCAAATGATGGATTTAAACATTTAATTTTAACACCCCCCACCATTCAAATTTCAAAATATTCTATTTATTCACCAGGTTTTAAAAATATTACAAGTATTTAATAAATTGTTTACGAGCTTACTGGAGAGTTACCCCTTGACCAGGTACCCCAAACTACGCCATAGGTTCAGTATTACTGCGATCATATTACTTTCTATTTCGTATTACTTAATTGCTTAAGGACAAATTACTATACTGGTTCAAAATTTGATTGACATTTTCAAATCAAATATTCTGCTCCGGAATATGAAATTAAAAATAAATACCAGTCTTTCAAAAAAATAAAAACTTAAAAATAGTCAAACATAAGCAATCATTTTTCAAGCTTGATGCTTATAGTGATTAGGTACTTAAATAAATTATCTAAAGAAAAATATTTCCAAGTATAAAGTAAGACATTTTGAGATGATGCGTGACTGCCTTGCGACCACATATGACTATTTTTCCTACAGGGCCATGTGCCCATGTTCTATTTTCAATACATTTTTAATAAATTAAGGTTTCTGATTTATTATATAGGTAGTAATAGTTGATAAATTGCTAGGTGAATAATTTTTAATCTGTTTACTTTGGAAACGGCTTTACGATACAATATCTCGTGTCAAAAATACAAAATAAGATATTTCGATAATTTTGGTAGCCAGATAGGTAATAAGTACCTATTGATAAATTTGACTTTTCACCAACGAAATTAATCTGTATGTGAATATTCATAATTATTGTTGTATCTTTATGCCTGTTCAGTTTTTGCATATAATTTAATTCATGTGCACATAATATTATTTGGGTCTAAAATATGTAGTAATAATTACCTATAATTATAAATTAAAAATAATACCCAATAATTAAATTACGATAACATTGCAGATCGTTCGACTTTCAATTATTGTGAAAAACAATTATTATAGGTAGGTAGTGATTATATAACTATTTATCCTTTTATGTAACTAAAACATTTATTAATAATTGATAATAAAACAAGTCACTGATGCAAATCGTGATAAATTATTATTATAACGTTCAGTATACCAATACCATATTATATGCAGCACCAAAGACAGTAGGTACCTTGTACCTACTAAAATATAAACAGTTAAAAATAAAATATAATAATGCGGCTGAATATAACGAATTGCCAATGATGAAGCACATGACAGTAATATATTAATTACATATTATTTTAATATTATATACACAAATACATGATTATAATATACACACACGAAGGCCGAAAAATATTAAATGTATAATACCTAATCAACAAGTGCGCCGCCTGTGCTATCGCCGTAATCACGGACTAAGATGTATCTTAGATAGGTACTATATATGGATGTATCTTATAGTCCGTGTTATACAATTAATAATACATTTTATATTTTTTAACCTTCATTTGTCGCCGTGTACAAAATATTCAAATTATAATACTGTATTGTACTCTATTGTTTTAAATTTTATAAATGTTGTCAAAAATCCACCTTTCATTGCTAATAAAAAAAAAAAATTATGCATTTGTATTTTAGATTCTGAGCGGAGCGATGAATGTATTGGTTTTACAATGATGTGTGTGTTTTTTTTTTTAATTTTTTTTTGTGTCTGTCATCACGTTTTAGGACAGTAAAACTGTAAAAGTGCTTGGATTTTCTTCATCAGTAGCTTTTTTGATAGGAAAGTGAATCTAGTTGGTACTTTGGGGGGTCAAAAGTATAAATTTCCCAGTAGTTTTCACAAGCGCCGGGAAAAAACAACATAAAAATTAAGGAAAAACGGGAATTTTTACGCAAAGTCGGTTTTCCAAAAAATCGATTTTGGTTATTGGTGTAACTCTAAAACAAATGAACGTATATACATGAAATTTTCACTGGTTGTTTATATTTGCATTTTCTATACACGATAACATTTTCAAAATATTTTGATTTATTTTGAACTGTTTAGGGACATTTTCATTTTCCATTTTTTTTTAGTTTTTTTTCTAAAAATATCAATAACATTTTATTTGTTGGTTGCAAAAGCTTGAAAATTTAATAGAAGGCTCCTAATATTGTCTCCAATCTTCTCTATCTGTCTGTCCATCTTTGTCTGGGTTGTCCTCTGGGTCTCTTTGCATTTGGTTTCCATGCAGTATTGCAGTTATTTGCCTGATTAGTCCTTTTGATCTCCACACATGTCCGGCCCAGCCAAAATGAAACTTGAGTAAATAAATATATTTTGTTTTTTTTTGTATGACTTTTTTATATTTTAAAATGAATATATATGGTGATTGGTGGTGTGTAACCCATCGCCCCAACAGGTTACTTTTTATGTAATATCAACCCCTCCCCCCAATATTTTAGCCCTGGTTGCGCCAGTGGTGGCTCACTGGTGGTCTTAATTATGTAAAATAGGTGAAAATATACTTATACGAGGAAAATAATATGTATAAATGTAATATTAAGTAGAAATCGTGTAATAATATATTTTTATGAATATATTAAAATGTATTTAATGTAATTAATGTAATTATTATAAAGAAAAACAAACTTAGTATTAAAGAGTGCTTAGTATTTTTAGGTAATTAAAAAAGTAAAGCGCTTCAATTCCTTTTTTTTCCATTGTTAAAATGATTGACAATGTGATATTATGGTTGCAGGAACCAACCTTTGGCTTCCAAAAAAACGGTTAATATCCCAGAAAATTGCTACAGCAATATATTCCATTTTCAGTCAATCCAAGTGTTCTACTGCAACAAGAAATAAGTTTTTCATTATTCGTCATAAACAGGCGCGTATCCAGAATTTTATTTCGGGAGGGGCTGAACAAAATTATCAATAGTCACACAATAAAACAAAAAAGTGGGTAAGTGGATGTCGCTCTGCTGTACAGTAGGTTACAAGTGGGTCACTGTAATGGATGGTGTAAAATTTGAATTCAATGATATAATATCATTGTATAAGAAAAACGATTCTAAGCGAAAACAGTCAGTCAGCCTATGATATTACTAAGTATATTTGATGATATTATTGTGAATAAAGTAATTTATATATTTACCTATTTACGTGGACCATTGTTTTAAATTTTTAATCCTTAACTATGAAAGTTGAACATTTTATAAATTTTTAATTACAAAATATTTAATACATTTTAAATTTGATAAATTTTGTCAAAATTCGAACTTTAAATGATTATAAGAAAAAATTGAACCTATGTATTTTTAATATTTTTCAACTAATATTGTTACAATATATCAGGAGCCTTGCGTTGAATGTTCACACTTTTTTACCCAACAAAAATTTTTTATTGATATTTATAGAAAAAAAAATCAAGAAAAATGAAAACTGTCAATGTCCGTAAATAGCTCAAAAAGAGGCAAAATATTTTCAAATTTTTTTGGTGCATAAAAAATGAAAACATTCAGCAAAATTTTAAGTTTTGTGATTTTTCCGTATTTTGTCAAGATTCGAACTTTAAATGCTTATAAAAAAACTATGACTAAGGATTTTTAATATTTTTCAACTGCTATTGTAACAATATAGCAGGAGCCTTGTATTAAATGTTCAAGCATTTTTACCCAACAAATAAAGTTTTATTGACATTCATATTTTTTGGATTTTCTTGAAATTTCAGGGGGGGCTGCAGCCCACCCAGCCACCCCCATAAATACGCCCCTGATTCATGATTTATTTATTTATATTTTAGCATCTACATTTTTTTTTCGAATCTTGGGCAAATCTCTAGTTTCAAAGCTATAGTCAAACCAGGGAGTAAAAATTGTTTTAAAAACCAGGAAACTGATAAAATAATAATATAATAAGTAATAACATTACAGAATAGTCAATGGGACCAAAAGGAAGGACTCAAGAATGTGCAATACATTTTGATTATATAATATTTATATGTAATATCTATTCAAAAATATTGGTAGCAAAAAATTAAAACCAATGTATTTGAAAAAAATTAGATTCCAAATAGAACTGCTAAACACTTTACTGTTGACATAATATATGTTTGCTGTTAACATATTGACCAAAAATTAGAAAGGTGATCTGAAAAATTTTTTTAATAACATAATTGTACCAAAATTGCTTTTTAAAAGTAATCTCTATGAGTTATAGAGTAAAGTGTTATTTTTCACGCTATTTAAAACAAGTTATGAATTTATGACAAAACCAAGGGCTAGGATATTTGAGACAATTAAAAATCAATTAAATTTATTTGCGAAAGTTACTGAAAGTTTTAGATAATTATCAATATTAATATGATCCTAGAAATCAGAAACTTAACATAGGTATAGTTCTAACGTTTTTAAATACTTGGTAGCATATATTCATATAATAGTTACTATCTAATATTATTATGAACGGTGTTCAAATAACTTTAATTATATCTATATGGAATGTCGGGGAAAACAATATCTCGGTTCTCAATAGTAAAAATGCAAAAATACAAATATTGTGGCTAAATTTAAATTTGTTTTCATTATTCTCTACACTCACAATTTAAGTTGTAAGCTATATATACAGTTTAAGTTTTAAAGTGTATATTGTATTCATACAGATTTAATAACACGACATCACAAATAGACGTTACACATGAAAAAACTTACCATCAATATCTAGGCCTGAAGTGCTACTATCACTTCCACTACTTCCACTGGAAATAACCACTACTCCAGGGTCATATTCGTCTAAACTAACACTACCTTCTTCTTCATCATCCGAATTAGGCTCTTCATCGATGGAATATTCAATATTCAGATTTTCTATTGCTGCAAGAGGACCACACGGGTCTAATTTTGATCGGCTAAAATAAGAAAATAGATAGAAGTATTGAACAGTTACTTAGTGAGAGTATTGAAGATTCCCTATAATAATACACTAACATCACTATCATCATTCTTTGTATGTGATATACTGATATATCTGCACCAGTCTTATTTTTCTTTTTAATAAATACTTGTATATTATTTCAGAAAAACGCTTTGTATCTGTAACTGAATTATCGGCCATATTGGGGTATTCTACAATAAAGCAAAAAAAAATGGTTGTAATATTCTTTTTTTGTTAATTCAATATAACTATATATAATATAATAGCTATAACGTATGAAAAAACTTACTTTTAAAATATAACATTTTTTTAATGAAAGACTTGTGTGGTTTCATTTGGACTGTTGAGCTTTTACTTAAAGTTTCAAGACTCAAGTTATTATAAAGAAAATAAATTAATAATAATTAATAGCTCACAACGTTTGGATTACCTACCTTATTATACAATATACCATTAAAAGTATTAGTTAATAGTTGTTATACTTTAGTAAACAGTAAACACGAATCACACATTAGAATTTAGATTAAAATGTAATTGCCATTAAATGAACCACGAACATAATGGATTTGAAACGAAAGTTATTTTTTAAGAATTTATTAAGATGATATTAAGATGAAGACTTTAATTCTATATTTATTCTTTATTCTATTATAGGCTTCATGGTACTATTATCTTAGTCCGTGGTTCGTGATAATGCCTAATCAACAATCAACAAGTGCGCCGCCTCTGCTATCGCCGTAACCACGGACTAAGATATATCTTAGTCCGTGGCCGTAACAGTACAACGTCTTTGATCCCCATATGCAGATAAAAATAAAAATTAGGCTTATCTACTTCATTTATTTTCAAATCGATCAAACCTCAATGTTTAATATTATTCTATAAATCTACACATTTGGCCATTGGGTGTTAGCAGTTTTCCCCGTCCAGTTGTCGATTTGTTTAAACAATTTGGAAGTATTTAATAATTTTTTAAGGCAGCCAAACGTATCAATCACCATGGATATAGCTACATCGACGGACATCATGATAATTAGCGGAAATTCGCACCTCGAATTAGCTAACTTGGTCTCTCGGTAATTATAATTTATACACTATTTTTAATTTTCACGAGCTATGGTGTTATTTAAATCATTATATTATTCACAGTCGACTTGGTGTAAAACCGGCACGATGCGCCGTTTCTTATACCACAAACCGAGAAACATCTGTCCAAATAAGTGACTCCGTACGTGGAAAAGACATATACATCATTCAAACTGGTTCAAAGTATGTATAACTAATATTTATACAAATAGTTTAATAACGATAAATTTGATATTAGTTAATTTCCTAAAATTGTTTGTAACCATTGATTCTGTAGACATTATGACGTAAATGTAATTGCCATTTACAATTATAAAAATAAACATTGAATCTCATAACACAAATACCTGTTGTACAGCTTGGATTTTCCGTAGATGATATTATAGCATTATATAATGTTATATATTGTATATTATTAATGGTATTTTCTGGATTTTAAACACAAAGGAGTCTATCTGAATTTAAGTCAATTGATAGGGAATCTATTGTATAAAATAATATATGTTAATATTATTATGTTGTGCAGGTGTTCATTTGATATGTTTGTTTACTTGGCAATTTTATTTAAATTTGCTAAAAATAAGTTTTATTAGTTGGCTGCTTTACAAATTTATTAACTCGGTGTTGACTCTTGATACTATAACAGTTTAAGGAAGCAAAACATTTCTCAAACTCAACGTTGATTTCATATAAGACAAACTTAATTAATTTAATATTTACAAACAAATATAAACATTTAATATTATACTATTATTTTTCCTAAGTAAAATTTTTTTAGATACTGCCTACTTATCACATATTGTACATATACCTATTTATGAAATCAACAAAAAATGTCTGATTTAAACACTATGCAAATTATTTATATTACCTACAATATTACTGTTTTTTTACATCACTATTTAAAATATTAAGGTGGATTGGCTTCTTAACTTGCTGCTGATTTTGTTTAAAAAGCTTATGTTTAATATAACTATAAAAACATACAATTCAGTCATACTATTAATTCTTTATACTTATTAAATAATCAAATATTAGCAATTCATATGAAAAAATTAAACATTATTAGTGAATAAAAGATTTATATATTATAAATCATACATTATTTGATTAACTTCACATAATTTTATCGGGTGATTCTCTGTATGATAAATATTGTTTCATTTCTATGTTACTTAAACTATTAAAGTAAGCTATGACCTATAGTATAGTTAAATATAATCATACAATCATTTAAAAAAAAAAGTAATAATAATTACAATTTAAATGTCATAACGATGTAGTCACATTATTATTATAAAGATAGTACATTGACACATTTGCTCTGAATAACATTTTAATGTTCACTGAATTATTAAAATATTTAATTATATCTCTTAGTATTTTAGAGTATTTATTTATTTGTATTTTTAAATGATTACATACTTACATCATAACTCAGAACCTTTATTTTAATATTCCTCTTGCATAATATTATATGCCTTTTTAGTAATTACTGATTACCTATGTTTAGCTATAAGATAATAATTATTATTATTGTATGAATTAAATTCTATGGAATTGTTTTAGAGATGTAAATAATAATATAATGGAACTCTTGATCATGGCATATGCATGCAAAACTTCTTCTGCCAAAAGCATTGTTGGAGTTATTCCTTATCTACCCTACAGTAAACAATGTATTTAAATAATTACACTTAAAAACTTCATGAATAATTAATAATTGATTTTGCTTAAGGTAAAATGCGAAAACGTGGTTCTATTGTGTCCAAACTTTTGGCAAGGATGTTGTGTTCGTCAGGCTTAACTCATGTGATTACAATGGACCTTCACCAAAAAGAAATTCAAGGCTTTTTTGAATGTCCAGTCGACAATTTGAGAGCATCACCATTCCTTTTACAATATATTCAAGAATGTGTAGGTCTCCAATGTTCCAAATATTAGTTTTAAAATGTATTAACATACTATTTATTATTTTTAAATACAAATATGCCACTGTGCTTTAATACTAAACCAAAACATAATACACAGTGTCCCACCCTTTATGTTAAAAATTATATCTAAATATTTTTTTCCATTGCAAGTAGTATTTTGAATTTGGGTTAATGAGTTGTTTTAAACTTTAAATAGATTCCTGATTATCGTAATGCCGTGATTGTTGCAAGAAATCCCGGATCAGCAAAAAAAGCTACATCGTATGCTGAACGTTTACGTTTAGGAATTGCTGTTATTCACGGGGAACAGAAAGAATCTGATTCCGATATGGTTGATGGAAGAAATTCTCCACCACCATCAACATCTCGTTCAAGAACGATGGATGTTGGAGTAGGAGTACCACAGCATCCAGCTAAAGAAAAACCGCCAATTAATGTAGTGGGAGATGTTGGTGGCCGTATAGCTATTATGGTGGTCAGTAAAAAAAAATTTAAAAATTAACAGATTTCAACAACAAAAAACGATGATAGTTTCTTTAAAAAATATAAATATTTTTTCAGGATGATATGATAGATGATGTTGCATCGTTTGTAGCTGCTGCTGAAGTATTGAAAGAACGTGGTGCTTATAAAATTTATGTTTTAGCTACTCATGGTCTTTTATCTTCTGATGCTCCAAGACTTATTGAATCTTCGCCAATTGATGAAGTAAATTAATAATAATACGTCATGTTTAAATTAGTAAATCCATTATGTTTATTTATAATAGGTGGTTGTGACAAATACAATTCCTCATGAAATTCAAAAAATGCAATGTCACAAAATCAAAACTGTGGACATAAGTATTTTATTATCAGAGGCTATTCGCAGAATTCATAATAAAGAGTCCATGTCATATTTATTTAAAAATGTCACATTAGAAGACTAAAATATTTATAATTGTTAATAATTTACTTGAATGTGGTAAAATGAAGAACATCTGAAATTAAATATAAAACTAATAGAATTCCAAACACTCTGATTTATTAACTTGAGTATAATATTTTGGATACAAGTATAAATTAAGTATATTTCAAATGAGTATCGTCTTTTTAAATTCACCTTTTGTTTATAATCCTTATTTACTAAATTAATGTCAAGAAAATTCTTTATTATTTAAAACAACTTACATTAAGAAATTTTATAATTTTATAATTATTCGGATGTATTTTAGTGCCATTATATTTTTAAATATTCATATTCAATAATAAAATGTTATTACTTAAATTTATTTTAGGAATATTCTCAACATTCTTATAAATTTAAGAGAAAATCAAACATTCATTGACATTCATGTTAAATACTTATAAATATCAGTGTGTTTAAAAGTTAGATGATTAATATTGAATGTATTTCAACTCTCATGAGTATTTTCAGGTAGTTATTAGTCACAGTTTATAAATTGATGTGTTGATTATTATTACTAAGAATTAAATAGCAATTTTACAAATTATATTAACTACAGAATTTTACTTTATTGTGATTTTGATTGTTTAAAATCATATTCGGATCGCATTATTTGTGACAGGTATACTTGTGAGTTGTGAACTGATTGAAATTTGTTACATTTTGAATAATATCAGGAATTATTTGTTTATATTTTGAAATGCTTCCCTTAAAGGTTACTCTCATCAGTTATCAAAATATTTACATGTCAGTATGTCACAAGACATTTAAATACCAAATACGGTTAAACTTGTGGAATGTATATTCACAGTCCTATACCACGGTACTTAGAAAAAATTACCACAAAAAAAAATAATTCAATACGAGTGCCGCATAATTGTACTTTAATACAATATTTTTGATGAATGTATTTATGTATTGATTTTACGGTGTGTTTTTTTTTTTGGGTGTGACAACCGTTTGAGGCAGTAAAACTGCCTTTATATCTTTTATCTTCAAGAGTATCTTGTTTGATGGGAAATAAATCTAGTTGATGCATTCGGGTGGTTAAAATTTAAAATTCCCAATAGTATTAAAAAGCAGAGAGACAAACCATATAAAAATTAAGGAAAAACGGGAATTTTTATACAAAAATTTGGTTTTTGGTGTAACTCTAAAACAAATTATCGTAGATAGTAGATACATGAAATTATCACTGGTTGCCTATATTCGCATAGAATAAAAATTTCAAAAAAATTTGATTTGTTTTGAAGTGTTTACAGACATTTTCAGTTTCAAATTTTTTTTGTTTTTATTTTTAGGAATGTCAATAAAATTAAATTTGTTGGTTAAAAAATCTTGAAAATTTAATAAGAGGCTCTTAATATATTGTTACAACGATATTGAAAAAATTTAAAATCCATATTTACAATTTTTTTTATAGGCATTCAAAGTTCAAATCTTGATGAAATACGTAAAAATTACGAAAATGAACAAATTAATTTGAGTTCATAAAATTTTTTTTTTTTAAATCTAATATCTCCCCTTCTTGCATGCCGTCCTATCCTGTAAACTGTACCCCCTTATTACTTATATTGTATTGTATATTAAGATTGTACATATATTCTTGTTTTCTAATAAAAAAGAAAAATCAAAGATTTGAAAATGTGATAGGTACCAAATTCCTCATAATTTTGTCTACCTTTATCAAAAAAAAAAATGTTGTCTACAAGAAAGTCAAATTAAATTTTTATGAGCGTTTGAAGTTCATATTTTTACAACATTGGATACTCAGTATTCACTCGATTTCTCAAGTAGTGATTTTCTTATTTTGTTGTAATTCAAAAACTAATAACTATAGAAACTGTAGAAACTGTACATAGACGTAAATTGCGGGAGGCTTGAGCCCCCCTCCCCCCCAAAACCTAGGACATTCAATTTTAAAATGCTATATTGCAATGGTCTGCTTGCCTATAATATATTCAGCCCCCCCCCCAAAGTCAAAAGTTGAAATTGTGCCTATAAAACTTTGAAAATTTCACGGAATGTTTATATTTTCATTTTCTATATACTATTCTGACTTCTGAGTAGAGCGATGAATGTCGAATGATATGCGTTTCTTTTCGTGTCTGAAAACACTTTATACCAGAGAACATTTTGAGAATGGCAGCAAGCAAATAGGATCTAGTTTATACTTTTTGAACATTGTTGGGTTTCGAAATTCCAAACACTTAGTATAATCGAGAAAAATCAAAAATATTTTAATTCGAATATTTTAACAGTCGTATACTTGAAATTTTTACAATATACCTATAATGTTGGCATATAATTTAGACATGACATGAATTAAGAAATATATCGGATCCTCTTGAGCTGTTTATAGCAATTACAATTTTTTTTTCTTCGTCGAAATTATTAAAAATTGAATACAATAATAGTCATCGTAAGTTTTGCGTACAATAATTTAAAAAATATTAAAAATTATAAAAACATTTTCAAGTACAAATTGTTGCATAACTGGATGGATATTTAAACAAAAATTAAAAATGTTTTATAGTTATTTTTTTGTAATTGAAAGTTGTTGGGGTTTGTAAGAGAAACAGGTAGGTATTCAAAAATATGTTTAGGGTAATTTTAAATTATTTTTAAGACGATCTCATTCACGCCGTCCTATAATGTACTTATGTACATCACCCAATAATATGATATGATATTTTTTTTTGATAGCTATTAGGTACCTATATAGAAGTATGTAGACTATCTGACTATAGTATTATAATTTATAATATACCTACTTAGGTATCATGTCAAATTGTTTGCAACAATTTGTTCAACCATCAGTCACTGTGGCATAAACAGGGCCGTCCGGACGATTTGCGGGGCCCGGGGCAGAGTAAATTTGTGGGGCCTAAAATGTCATTATCGTCAGTTGGCAGTTGCATTTATTTAAATATTTAATATTATGAATTATGATATATACCTACCTAGGTATAAGGAGGCTACGCGCCTAAATGGAAAAATTTCTCAAGTGCTCAAGCCTATAACTAGCTCAAAAATAATCAAAATATTGAGAAAATGTTTTATGGAGAATTCTAATATAAATATTTGTTGAAAATTTCAAGGTTCTACAGTTAGGTTTGAGATACACCAAAAAAATAAAATCGATGTTTCAAAAATTGATTTTGTATAAAAGTCACCTATTTTTTTGTTTTTCTCAACGCTTTCTAAAACTACTAGAAATTTTTAATTAAGACTCCCCAAAAATACCAACTATAGTTTCACTTTTCTATCAGTAAATAATAAATATGCTGATCTAGGAAATCGGAGCACTTTTACTACCCAAAAAGGGCCATACAAAACAGAAAAAAAACACACGTCATTGTAAAATAAATACATTTTTTCGCTCCGCTCAGAATCTAAGCATTTTTTTCTATAAATATTATAGCTAAGTTGTTGTTTTTTTTTGGGGGGGGGGCAGAGCGCTTTGAAGATTTTCATCATTTTCAACTTTGAAAATTGAATTTTAATCATATTAACTCGTTTTAAATGCAATACATTTATTTGACGACTGATGTCAATTAATATAAGTAGGTATACCCGTAGGTATAGGTAGTAAAAAATACAACAATTAAGGATATAAAAATCATAAAATATATAAATAATAATTTTTTTTTCTCATTAACTTGGCTTTTTTATGGTATCTACAAAAGCGGGGCCTGTCCAACTGGTGAAGGCGTGGGGCCCAGGGCGAGGGCCCCGCTCGCCCTGCCCTAGGGACGGCCCTGGGCATAAATCATAAATGTATAATTAATTACCAATAAGACTATGAGAGGTACGCCTATGTGTATCATGGGATCAAAAAATTATAAAATATCCTTATATAGAAATGTAGGTGAAAACATTGTCTTTGCTCAGACACTAGCCTTGTGCCTAGACCCGAAAACTACCTATACAGCACTAAAGCAGATCCAGCGACTGATTATTTTTTTGATGAATTTTATATATTAAAACTGGTTAAAATTTGTATTAGCCGTAACAGAATTTTTTAAACCAGAACCGATATTTTTGTTTTTTTACAAATAAGAACCGTATCGAAATCGGAATCAAAATTTCTAGAAAGTAGTAATCAGTGTTTGAGTATTTAACACGTTTCATATTATACAAAAATCAATTTGTTCATCTAGAAATAAAAAGAATATTATTAATAAATTAATTCTATTCCTTGTGTTTTTTTTTCTCTAAGAATTTCGTTCATTTTCCGTTCCTTTAAATAATAAACGAGTTCCTTTTTTAGTTCCAAATTGTAAAGCAAAATTTGATCATGATCATACAATGATCATGCAAATTCTTTTATTATTAATTTATAATTTCATTTTGAGTACATTATTTAATTAGATATAATGGCCCATGGGTGATGGGTAGGTCATACTTTATTCTTTCAAACTTCTTATAAGTACCTACCAAATATCTATCTAATTATTATAGAATTTACTATAGAATATTTATTTATATTTTACTGACATGATCTTTACTTATATAACAAAATTTAAAACAATTTTATATATAATAATAAATAGTTTTCAAACATTAACAATAATATAATTTTGTTTTATATTACGATTTTAAACAACTGCATACCTGTGTTAATGGTTCTTTTAAAAGCATTGGCGCAAATAGGGGGGGGGGGTGCTTTGGGTTCTTACTCCTTAGCACCCCCTAAAAAGTCGTTAGGTGTTAGGTCTCATTGAATCACAAAAAAACCTGGAGCTTAAGCACCCCTAGATCAAATGTCTAGTTGTGCCAATGTTTAAAAGTATAGGTAACTACATTCATTAACTATTGTTTGATGATTATTTGTATTATATATTTAAAGTATCATTCGATTATTCAAAATATTTTAATTATTGTATCTAATATCTATAAGTAAAACTTGTAAAAACGACTACTAATAAATAATAATATTTTTGTTAATATTTAAAATTTTTATCTTTCTATTTTCCAATG